TCTCTCTCTCTCTCACTCACTTCACTCACTCACTCACTCACTTTCACTCACTCACTCACTCAGCGTGTCACTCACTTCACTCACTCCCCTCATCTCCACTCTCACTCACTCACTCACTCCTCTCTCTCTCTCTCTCTCTCTCTCTCTCTCTCTTCTCTCTCTCTCTCTCACGTCACTCACTCACTCACTCACTCACTCAGTCTCTCAGGTCACTCTCCTCGCCCCATTCCCTTCCACCCTTTAATCCTCAGGCGATCTCGTGTTCCGGCTTGCTCCCCTTAAAACAGCCATTTTCGTTGCGTTTAAATGCCCTCTTCTCCTCTGCTTGTCTATCCCCCACGCGTCCTTCCTTCCCTTTTTTCCTTTCGTCTTATCTCTTTCTTTTTCCTTTCTCGCTTCTCTCTTCCTCCCTCCTTTTAAATCTCCCCCTCCCATCCCTGTTTCCCTGATTTCCTCGCCCTCCTCACCACCCACCCACCCCCCTCCTCTGTTTCCCTCCCCTCCTCCCTACTTCCCTTTATCCTTTCTCCCTCCATCCATTTGCTCTCTTCTCCTTTTCCTTCTCCCTCCCCCGCTTTCCTCTCCTTCCCTCCTAACCCCTTTCTCTCCTATGTGCCCCCTCTCTCCCTCCTTCCCCCTTTCCCGTTCCCCCTCCGTCTCCTTCACCCCCCCCCTTCACTCCTCCCTCCTCTCCTTCTTCCCCCCCCCCCTCCCTCCCTTCGCTTCCCCATTCTCCCCCTGGACGGCAAGACCTCTCGACCAGCCTTCCTCGCTGTGCAGACGAAAGGGAGAAGGTCTCACCAAGGCAGGTGAGAGGGGCAGGATGAGGGGAGGTAGGAGAGGAAAGGGGGGAAGTTAGAGGGAGACTGGAGGGAGAGAAAGGGGGAAGAGAGGGAGATAGGGGGATGGAAGGGCCCTGATGGCGAACTGATGGTGAAGAGTGGCTGCACAATGAGTGAGGAAGAAAAGGAAGGGCGGGGGGGAAGCGGAGAGAGGAGAGAGAGGACATAAAAGCGAAAGAGATGAGAAGAATGGGGAGAAGGGAAATAGCGGAAATTCCAGAGAGAGAAACAGAATAGGACAAAGCGATTAATTTTAAAACGACAACTAACAACAACCGCAACACTAATAGGGAACAATAAACAATTAGAAAACAACAATTAACAGCAAAGAGCGCTAAAGCAAGAAGTCTAACCAAATCTTAAGGTGATAATAAATATCCACCGAAGTCGAACTCAGGACAGATGTGGGATCCGCCCCCGCTCGCTTTAGCCTTCTCTCTCGCCTCCCCCTGGCCCTCCAGTCCTCCTTCCCCTTCCTTTCCTCTCATTCCCTCTCTCCTCTCTTTCTCTCTCCTCCGTCCTCTCTTTTCTCTCTTTTCCTTCTTCTTCCTAACCCTCTTTTTTTTTTCTTTCCTCCTCTCTCTTCTCTTCTCCTCCTCCTCTCTTTTTCTCTTCCTCCTATCTTCCTTTCCCTCCTCCTCTCTTCTTCTCCTCCTCCTCTTTCTCTTACCTACTTCCCCTTTCCTCCTCCTCTCTTTCCCTCCCTCCTCCTCCCTCTTCCCTTCTCCTTTCTCTCCTCCTCTCTTCTCCTCTCCTCCTCCCCTCTCCCTCTCCTCCCCCTCCTCCCCTCTTCCCTCTCCTCCCCTCTTACCTTACCCTACCCTTCTCCTCTCCCCTCTTTCCCTTCCCCCCTTCCTCCTCCCCTCCTCTTTTTCCCTCCCCCCCTTCCCTCTCTTCCCTCTTCTCCCCCCTCCCCCTCACCTCCTCACACGACCTGCGACAACAAAAAGGTCACTGGCACTTCATTATGCACAAGGGTTACCACGTGCCATAAAGCTCTTGAAGGAGAGGGGGGGGGGAGGGGAGAGGGAGAGGGTGACGGGGATGAGGAGGAGGAATGTGTGTGGTGTGTGTGTGGTGTGTGTGTGTGTGTGTGTGTGTGTGTGCTGGTGTGTGGTGTGTGATGTGTGTGTGTGTGTGTGTGTGTGTGTGCGTTCTCTCCCATCTACCGCCCCTCCCCCCCTTTTCATCCTTGAGATATAAGACCCTCCCTCCCTCCCTCTCTTTCCCTTCCTTCCTTTCTCCCTTTCTTTCGCTTTCTTCCTCTCTTTCGAAAGAGATATATATATTATATATATATATATATCATATATATATATATATATATATAGAGAGAGAGAGAGAGAGAGAGAGAGAGAGAGAGAGAGACAGACAGACAAAGAGAGAGAGAGAGAGAGAGAGAGAGAGAGAGAGAGAGAGAGGAGAGAGAGAGAGAGAGAGGAGAGAGAGAGAGAGCGAAAGAGAGAGAGACAGAGAAGCGAAAGAGAGAAAACCCAGTAGCTTTTTCTTTTTCCTTCCCCAACAGAATAAAAGCGACCCGCGCTCGTCCCTCCGATTAGCGAATCAGCAAGGAGCTTTGTGCCAACCGCGCGGGGATCCCATCGAACAGGAAGTGGGGAGAGGGAGAGGAAATTGATAGCTTCTGGTAGCCAGTGTAAATATTAGATCAACAGGGAGTGGGGAGGCCGAACGACAAGGAATGGGGAGGCCGAACGACAGGGAGTGGGGAGGCTGAACGACAGGGAGTGGGAGGCTGAACGACAACTGAACGTGGGGAGAACGACCGAAACGACAACGACAGGGAGTGGGAGGCTGAACGACAGGGAGTATATCCTTTTTTATCTTACTTTCTCCCATCTTTTTCTTTCCCTTTCTCTCTCCCTACGAAGTCCCTCTCCCTCTTTTTTTCCTTTTCTCTTTCAATCTTCACTTCCCCTACTCCCTCTCTCCCTCTCCCTCCCCCTCCCTGCCCCTTTTTTCCAAAAGGCGTAAACGAAGCCGCAGAAACAGAGATAAAACAGAGCTCAACGGCCTCTGGCTCTGAGTACAAACCCTCCCCTTCCCCCTCTCCCCCTCCCCTTCCCCCTCGCCCGTTTCCCTCCTCTCCCCTCCTCCCCCTTTCCCTTTTTTAATGTCCATTATGTAAATAATTTAAAGCTGCCAGCCCGGATTCCACGTGCAGGATTGAGTCCCTGTGGCCCCCCCGTCCCTGCGCCCCCTGTGCCCCTCGCCCCTGCACCCCTCCCTTCGCCCCGGGCGCCCCTGCACCCCTCCCTTCGCCCCCCGCCTCTCGCCCTCGACGTGGCTGCGACGGAAGTACCCGAGCAGCGAGGACCGAGCGGGAGGAGCGGAGGCCAAGCTGGCGCGGGGAGGCGAACGGAACGCGGAAATGCAGCTGGAACGCTCGAGGATACATACACGCACACACAGAATTCTAGATATAAAGATACATACACACATATACGTATACAAATGCACACATAAAAAGCACCACACGCACCATATGAGCCCGCGATTCGTTCTTATCCTCAATGCCTTTCCTTTCCTTTCCTTCTCTTCCTTTTCCCTTCCTTCCTTCCCTTCCCTCTCTCTCTTTCCTTTCCTTCCCTCCCCTTCCTTCCTTTCCCTCTCTCTGTTTTCCCTTTCTTTCCTTTCTTCCTTCCCTTCCCCTTCCCATTCCCTACCTCCATCCCTTCCCTTCCCTCCGCCCACACCTCCGCCCCGCCCCACCCGAGAAAACAAACTCCGACCTTATGACAACTAGTCAAGAAGCTAATCCCCATCAGCGCCGAGTCCACACGCACCTGACTAATTCATCGCCCACTGGACGTGCAACAAATCAAGCGGGGCTCCTTGAAGCGGGCTCCTTCAAGAAGGCTCCTTGAAGCGGGTTCCTTGAAGCGGGCTCCCTCAAGCGGGCTCCCTCAAGCGGGCTCCCTCAAGCGGGCTCCTTCAAGCGGGCTCCTTCAAGAGGTTTCCCTTCAGAAGGCGGCGCTTTCTCCCTCAAGCCGGGCTCCTTGAAGCAGCGGTGCTCCTCTGAAGGCGGCCGTTTTCCTTTCTTCAAGTACAGCGGGCTCCTTCAGCCGGGCTTCGAAGCGGGGCTCCCTCAAGCGGGCTCCTTCAGGCGGGGCTCCTTCAAGGCGGGCTCGAGGGCGCTCCTTCAAGGGCTCCTTCAAGCGGGCTCCTTTTCAAGCCGGCTCCGAAGCGGTCCTTCAAGAGGGTTCCTTCAAGAGGGTTCCTTGAAGCGGGCTCCCTCAAGCGGGCTCCTTCAAGCGGGCTCCCTCAAGCGGGCTCCTTCAGGCGGGCTCCTTCAAGCGGGCTCCTTCAAGCGGGCTCCTTCAGCGGGTTCCTTCGAAGCGGGCTCCTTCAAGCGGCTCCTTTGAGGCGGGCTCCCTCAAGCGGGCTCCGTTGAGGCGAGCTCCCTCAAGCGCGGCCCCCTCTTCAAGCGGGGCTCCTTCAGGCGGGCTCTTGAAAGCGGGCTCCTTGAAGCGGGTTCCTTGAAGCGGGCTCCCTTCAGGCGGGCTCCTTCAAGCGGGCTCCTTCAAAGCGCGGCTCCTTCAAGCGGGTATTCAAGCCTTCGCGGGCTCCTTCAAAGCGGCTCCTTCAAGCGGGTCCTTCAAGCGGGTTCCTTTCAGCTGGGCTCCCCTCAAGCGGGCTCCTTCAAGCGGGCTCCCTCAAAGCGGGCTCCTTGAAGCGAGCTCCTTTGAAGTGGGCCCCTTCAAGCGGGGCTCCTCTGAGGCGGGCTCCTTCAAGCGGGCTCCTTGAGGCGGGGCTCCTTTTCAAGCGGGTCTTCAAGCGGGTTCCTTCAAGCGGGTTCCTTCAAGCGGGTTCAAGCGGGTTCAAGCGGGCTCCTTCAGGCGGGCTCTCCTCAAGCGGCTCCTTCAAGCGGGGCTCCCTCAAGCGGGCTCAAGCGGGCTCCTTGAAAGCGGTGGGCTCCTTGAAGCGGGTCCTTTCAGGCGGGCTCCTCAAGCGGGCTCCTTGAAGCGGGCTCCTTAAAGCGCGGGCTCCTCAAGCGGGCTCGGGCTTCAAGGCGGGCTCCTTGAAAGCGAAAGCGGGCTCCTCAAGCGGGCTCGAAGCAGGCGGGGCTCCCTCAGCGGGCTCCTTCAGGCGGGGCTCCCTCAGAGCGGGCTTCCTCCTTGAAGCAGGCTCCTTGAAGCGGGCTCTTCAAGGCGGGCTCCCTGAAGCGGGCTCCTTGAAGCGGGCTCCTTGAAGCGGGCTCTCTCAAGCGGGCTCCTCTCAAGCGGGCTCTTGAAGCGGGCTCCTAAGCGGGCTCCTCAAGCGGGCGGGCTCCTTCAAGCTGGGCTCCCTCAAGCGGGCTCCTCAAGGGGCTCCTTCAGCGGGCCCTTCAAGCCCTCAAGCGGGCTCTTGAAGCAGGCTCCTTGAAGCGGGCTCCTTCAGGCGGGCTCCCTCAAGCGGGCTCCTTGAAGCAGGCTCCTTGAAGCGGGCTCTTCAAACGGGCTCCCTTGAAGCGGGCTCCTTCAGGCGGGCTCCTTGAAGCGGGCCCTTGAAGCGGGCTCCTTCAAGCGGGCTCTTGAAGCGGGTCTCCTGCGGGCTCCTTCAAGCGGGCTCCCTCAAGCGGGCTCCTCAAGCGGGGCCAAGCGGCTCCTTGAAGCGGGCCCCTCTTGAAGCGGCTCCTTCAGGCGGGCTCCTCAAGCGGGCTCCTTGACGCGGGCTCCTTGAAGCCGGGCTCCTTGAAGCGGGCTCCCTCAAGCGGCGTCAGCGGCTCCTCAAGCGGGCTCCTTGAAGCAGGCTCCTGAAGCGGCTCCTTGACGCGGGCTCCTTGAAGCGAGCTCCTTGAAGCGAGCTCCTTGAAGCGGGCCCCTTGAAGCGGGCTCCTTGAAGCGGGCTCCTCAAGCGGGCTCTTCAGCGAGCTCCTTCAAGCGAGCTCCTTGAAGCGGGCTCCCTCAAGGGGCTCCTTGACGCGGCGCTCCTTGAAGCGGGCTCTTGAAGCGGGCTCCCTCAAAGCGGGCTCCCTCAAGCGGGCTCCTTCAGCGGCTCCTTGAGGGCGGCTCCTTCAGCGGGCTCCCTTGAAGCAGGCTCCTTGAAGCGGGCTCCTTGACGCGGGCTCCTTGAGCGGGCTCTTGAAGCGGGTCCTTGAAGGCGGGCTCCTTGAGGGCGGGCTCTTGAAGCAGGCTCGCTTGAAGCGGGCTCCCTCAGCGGGCTCCTTGAAGCGAGCTCCTTTGAAGCGAGCTCCTTGAAGCGGGCTTGAAGCGGGCCCCTTGAAGCGGGCTCTTCAAGCGGGCTCTTCAAGCGGGCCCTTGAAGCAGGCTCCTTGAAGCGGGCTCCTTCAAGCGGGCTCCTTCAAGCGGGCTCTTTGAGCGGGCCTTGAAGCGGGCTCCTTGAAGCGGGGCTCCTCAAGCGGGCTCCCTCAAGCGGGCTCCTTCAAGCGAGCTCCTTGAAGCAGGCTCCTTGAAGCGGGCTCCTTGAAGGCAGGCTCCTTGAAGCGGGCTCTTTGAAGCGGGCTCCTTGACGCGGGCTCCCTCAGCGGCTCCTTGAAGCAGGCTCCTTGAAGCGGGCTTCCTTGACGCGGGCTCCTTGAAGCGAGCTCCTTGAAGCGGGGCCCTTGAAGCGGGGCTCCCTGCAAGCGGGCCTCTTCAAGCGAGCTCCTTGAAGCGGGCTCCCTCAAGCGGGCTCTCGCTCCTTGAAGCGGGCTCCCTCAAGCGGGCTTCCTTCCTTGAAGCGGCTCCTTGAAGCGGGCCCTTGAAGCAGGCTCCTTGACGCGGGCTCCTTTGAAAGCGGGTCCTCCTTTGGAAGCGGGCTCCTTGAAGCGGGCTGCCTCTGCTCAAGCGGGCTCCTTTCCGCTCCTTGAAGCGGGCTCCTTGAAGCGGGCTCCCTCAAGCGGGCTCCTTCAAGCGAGCTCCTTGAAGCGGGCTCCTTGAAGCGGGCCCCTTGAAGCGGGCTCCTTGAAGCAGGCTCCTTGAAGCGGGCTCCTTGGCGGGCTCCTTGAAGCGGGCTCTTGACGCGGGCTCCTTGAAGCGGGCTCCTTGAAGCGGGCTCCTCAAGCGCTCCTTGAAGCGGGCTCCCTCAAGCGGGCTCCTTGACGGGGCTCCTTGACGCGGGCTCCTTGAGCGGGCTCCTTGACGCGGGCTCCTTCAAGCGGGCCTTTGAGCGGGCCCCTTGAAGCGGGCTCCCTCAAGCGGGCTCCTTCAAGCGAGCTCCTTGAAGCGGGCCCCTTGAAGCGGGCTCCTTGAAGCGGGCTCCTTGAAGCAGGCTCCTTGAAGCGGGCTCCTTGACGCGGGCTCCTTGAAGCGGGCTCCTTGAGCGGGCGGGGCTCCTTGAAGCGGGCTCCTGCCTCAAGCGGGCTCCTTGAAGCGGGCTCCTTCAAGCGGGCTCTTTGAAGCGGGCCCTTTGAAGCGGGCTCCCTCAAGCGGGCTCCTTCAAGCGGGCTCCTTCAAGCGGGTTCCTTCAAGCGGGCTCCTTCAAGCGAGCTCCTTCAGCGAGTCCTTGAAGCGTTTGAAGCGGGCTCCTCAAGCGGGGCTCCTCAAGCGGGCTCCTCAAGGCGGGCTTCAAGCTCCTTCAAGCGAGCTCCTTCAAGCGAGCTCCTTCAAGCGGGTTCCTTCAAGCGGGCTCCTTGAAGCGGGCTCCCTCAAGCGGGCTCCTTGAAGCGGGCTCCTTGAAGCGGGCTCTTGAAGCGGGCTCTTTGAAGGCCTTGAAGCGGGCTCCTCAAGCGGGCTTTCAGCGGGCTCCCTCAAGGCGGGCTCCTTCAAGCGGGCTTTGAAGCGGCCCTTGAAGCGGGCTCTCAAGCGGGCTCCTTCAAGCGGGCTCCTCAAGCGGGCTCCTTTCAAGCGGGCTCCTTCAAGCGGGCTCTTTGAAGCGGGCTCCTTGACGCGGGCTCCTTGAAGCGGGCTCCTTGAAGCGGGCTCCCTCAAGCGGGCTCCTTCAGGCGGCTCTTCAGGCGGGCTCCCTCAAGCGGGCTCCTTGAAGCGGGTTCCTTGAAGCGGGTTTGAGCGGGCCCTTGAAGCGGGCTCTTGAAGCGGGCTCCTCAAGCGGGTCCTCAGGCGGGCTCCTCAAGCGGGCTCCTCAAGCGGGCTCCTTCAAGCGGGCTCCTTGAAGCGGGTTCCTTGAAGCGGGCTCCCTCAAGCGGGCTCCTTCAAGCGGGCTCTTTGAAGGCGGGCTCCTCAAGCGG